AACCTGGCCAGCGTGCTGGTAGCAGTCCGAATTGGAGTAGCTGCAGTCCTCTTGGGATGGCAGATGTAGTTGCTGTGTCTTCTCAGAGAACCTGTGGAAAGGCTCCCCTCTGTGTAGAAATCTCCAGTTTTATCCAGGTGGGAATGCCTAGCTCCTCCCCTTGGGCAGAGCATCTCACAATGGGTTATTATGAGTCACAAGGGTGTGTCCTTAATCACCTCCTCCTCCTGGACGGTGTTATCTCTCAGGCATTGATGGGGCCATTAACAACAGATAAGGAAAACTGCCCCAAGGCAACTTCTACTCAGATGGGAATTGGAAAACGTTTTTTTTTTTTTTAAAACTTGGACAGTCCAACCACCTGACTCCTTTAGGTCTGACCAAAAACGAAAGCTATAAAACTAAGGGCATGTCCAAATGCCCCTTGAGCAATGCCAGTTTGGGCCACTAACACTGACCCCCTCTCCAGGACCCTGTTCCAGGGTCTGGCCACCATCTTGGTACACAAAGGTCTACTCATATCAAGCCTGAACCTTCCCTGAGGAGTCTTGATTAAATTCTCTTTTGGTTTGTTCTTGACCATGGATATGTAGAAATATATAGAATCTTTCCTTTGGTTCTGCCTGCCCTCAGTTTTGCTGCTTCTTTCCAACCATACCACGTGCCTGTAATTATTTCTTTCGAAAATCAATTCTGTAGCAGCTTCACCACTGCAGCAATACCCACCCAGGTTTAGAGATTTCCTTCAGGCACAGGCTACCAACATTCCCACCTCACACTGGGGGGGAAACGGTACCACAGCAATCATCCAGACAAGTAACGCATCCTTTCATTCTGGTCCTCCCAGCACTCGCCAGCTCCATGTTTGCACCTCCTCAGTGCCTGCACTGTTCTCTTGTTCCCAGTAAGCCAGACAAACACAGGATGACGAAACTTAGCCTAATTTGTTACACACGCACAAAAAACCCCAAAACTTGCAAGTGAAATACAAAACTGACAGGCCATTTGTTGTCTTCATGAGATCTGTTAGCAGAATTTCCACATCTCACCTTGCATGTCTGTTGTGCAGATGAAACAGGAAAGCCTTATAAATATGATTGCCTGGCAAAAGATTTTGAGAATATGGAAACTATAAGCGAGACTGAAATGAATGCAAGCTTTGAGATACCAAGCCTTGGTTACTGAACAACTGGAAAACAATAGTATGGCCGGCTGAAGGTATTCCCCTTTTTATGAAATAATACCCTCTGCTTGCAGACAGGTCCAAGAGTCAGAGCAGACCCTACTAGCTTAGCAGAGGGGGTCTAAAGAGTAGTTTTTAGGGTTTAAAATGTAACACAGTATGGCAATGTAATCATTCTTATAGGTTGTATGTAAATGCTATAGGATTTGTATCTTGTACTATATCGGTTAGTGAAAATTGGAATATTCAGTACAGAAGAAGATTTATGGTATTGTAATGGCAACTTCCTCTTTCTTGCTCTTTTGGGCCTGCTCTGAGCTGTGGCTGGCAGCTCCGAGCAGGGCTCTGCACCCGCACCCTTTGCAATAAACCCAAGTTCCAAGCCCTGGCTGCAGGGATCTCTTGCCTCCATCTGTCCAAACCGTCCCACTGTCTTGTTTTGACAAGACAGGAGTCTGTGAAGGAGGGCAAAAGCCTCCTGTGCAATGGAGAAGGTAAACCCCCTCCCTCTGAATTACCAGGAT